TATTGGTCGTAGATTTGTTTTTTCAAATAATGTTTCGGCAAATACACCTTTTCTAATATTATCTGGATAACAATAAAATCGATATCTTTGATAATATTTTCCAATGGATAATGGTTTTTTGCATTTTCTACAAATAAAAGGTTTTATAAGTCCTTGCTTTTATAAATAGATTATAGCTTGTTCTTCGTCATAAAGTGTTCAAAATAGTGTTTCATTTGATTTAAACATTTTGATAAAGAAAAAGAAAAGAAGTGTTTTATGAAAAATCAAAAAAAAAATTTATATAACTTTATATATTTTGTGTAACTTACCAAAGAACGCCTGTAACCAAAATATCCCTACCAACAAAAGCATCTAATACAGCATTAAGACGCGTAGGAAACAAGTCTTTTTGCGATGACGCACAAGTGGAATTCCAAAAAAAAACGTTTGGAGGCAGAGCAAGCTTCAGTGGCTAATGAATTTGTGGATATGGCAACTAATCTTATAAAGGATGCTGGTCAAACAGCTGCAACTGCAATTCAAGGGAACATCAATAAACGCAAACGTCGTGGAATCTCAAGCAATATTGGTATGCCACTACAACGACAACGAACACAGTAAATTCAACAACAAACTCAATAAGGAGATCAGCAGGATCAGGGCGTTATTGATTCAACAGAGGATCCGTTCATCGATTTGACGCTGGGGGATCACATTCGATCGGCAATTATAAAGTTCAAGTTGTCATATATCTATATCCACGATTTACACAAGCAAAAGTAAGTTGGATATACATTAGATTAATACATTTGTTTGTTTATTACATAATATACAAACAAAAAGTCTATTGTATTACGGCATAGTTGACTTGATTCCAATGTCATCAACCAAGCTATATCAAACAGTTGACGAAAGCGACGTTGAAGATATCAAGGCTGTCAATAGGAGAAGTAATCGTCGTATGGAAGCAGCAACGGATGTAGACCTAGAAAAAGCGAAAGAGTTCGTCGAAAAGATAATGCGAGAAGTGGTAAGGATAAAAAAAATTAGATGATGGGTGTGAGGTAGTAGCGTTGTATACGAGCTGTGTTATTTATGATGATGGAATTGAACGTATGGGTTTCCAAACGACATGTTCTAATGCTCAGCTATTGTGAGAGTTAAACATAAATCTGATGATTACAAAAAATTCTTAATTTTTTTATCATCTATAATATTTATATAGTTAATATAAATAATTTTTATTATATGATTATAAGAAAAATAAAACAAATTGTTTTCTATTTCTGTTCCTTCTCCTCCTCCTCCTCCTCCTCAAAATAATAACAATAACAATAATAACAACAAACCCTTAACAGGCTTTTTATGTTCTTATTTATATATAGTAAAAAACAACTTAAATCGTTGATTTTTATGTTTTTAAAATTTATTTTTTAAATTTTATTTTAATCACATAATATAAATGATTATATAATCATTTATAATTATCATGTGAATATTTAAAATAAATAAAAAATTACAATTTTTAAAATTAACTAGCGGTCCTTCCTCGCTTCGCTCGGATGAATGAGCCCCTCTGCTTCGCTCCGTGTCATTCAACAGAAATGCATCGCAAGGGGGTTCCCCCCTTGACCCCCAAGTGGGGGGCAAGCCCCCCAAACCCCCCTGTCAAGCGAGGTTGGATCAATGTTTTGGTATAGATGCTTATTATCTGTTTTCAAAAACAAAAGCAAGATCATTGTGCAGTGCGAAGTAGTCTATCATAGAAAGTCGTCAAAGTTGGATACTTAACTATCTCCAGTTTAGAATGCAATGTGAAAAGAAGTGTTGACAAAGATGATGTAGTGATATTGATAGAAAGAGAATAGGCGAGAAAAAAAGAGAATAGGCAATATAAAAAAAGAGAATGGGCGATGTAAAAATAGAGTAGGTGACAAAAAGAATTATAGAAGAACTTTGTGAAAAACAACATTTCTTGTGCTTTGGCCTTGCTGACCCACGATACGTGAGTTCTCAGGATCTAACATGATTCTGATGGATGAAGGGGTGCGGACGCGCGACATGGCTACATAGAGTAGACCATGCGTGAACGGAGGTTCAGGCAAGTAGAGGCCGACAGTGTTGAAAGTTTGACCCTGTGCCTTATTGAGGGTCATAGTGAATGCCAGGCGAACAGTGAATTGGATGCGTTTGAAGAGAATGGGTGAGCGTGTTTGCGATGGTGTGAGTGTTATGTGAGGGATTAAGACAATGTTGCCAGCATGAGGTCCAGTGGCTATTTCAGCTTCAAGTACATATCTTTGAAAAGAGCGTACAATCAGCCATGTCCTGTTGCAGAGACCACTTTGGGTGTGTAAGTTTCTCAAAAGCATAATTGGGCAACCGACTTTGAGTTTTAGCAAGTGTGGTGGGAGGTCGGATGGATTCATGGAATTGAGCAGCTCTGGTAGGTATATGATTTGATCCTCTGGTGATAAAGAGAGAGAGAAAAAGTTTTATGCAGCATTTAATATTTACACACTCTGTTGTGCTTACAGCTTTATTCTACGTCGGAGGTAAACAGTGGAGCCACATTTTGATTGCTTGAATGCTAGAAGACAATGCTGTAATGGTTACACGGTCGCCATGGCGACGAAAAAGCGTTATGGACAGATGGACATATCGAACACGTAAAGAGACTGTGAAGGAAAGAAAGGAGGAGGAGATTGAAAAGATTTCCTTTTTTATGAGTTATAAATCGTAAAACTGAAGGATTTTAATAAATAGATAATGTTAATTTTTGAAAGATTAAAAATATTATATATTTTTTTCTTTCTGAAAAACATAATTTGTGTTACAAATAATTGTTTTTTAATATATATAAATAAGAACATAAAAAGCCTATTAAGGATTTGTTATTATTATTGTTATTGTTATTTATTTTGAGGAGGAGGAGGAGGAGGAACAGAAATAGAAAACAATTTGTTTTATTTTTCTTATAATCATATAATAAAAATTATTTATATTAACTATATAAATATTATAGATGATAAAAAAATTAAGAATTTTTTGTAATCATCAGATTTATGTTTAACTCTCTAGATGAATATTATAAATATTCATCAATACTTTATGCTAATTTATATAGAAAAGGTATTCCTTTTCTATAAGAGGTTTAATCAATAATTTAGTGATTACAAAAAATTCTTAAATTTTTATCAATCACTAGATTATTAAAATTGTATATATTTCTTTATATTTATTTAAATATTAATTATGTTATAAATCTATTATGCCATAACACACTTCTACTTCTGCCATAATGTTCATTAGAAAGGTAAAGTAACACTTAACCCTTTCTAAATGAACAACAACAACAACAAACAACAACATTGACATGTTCTTGTTTTTTCCTAATGGTAGAAAATACTCAAAATTATTATTTTGATGTATTTTCACAATATTAGAAAATAAAAACTTTATTTCTTAGATATTCAAAGAAAAGGATAAATACAGATATTTATCTCTTTTTTTAAAAAATAGTTTATTGATAGAAATTACCCGGAAAGGGTTAAAAGCTTGCAGTGGCGAGCTAATTTCTATCTAATAAATCTATTTTTAGAAATAAAAATAATAAGGATAACAAAATTATCTCTTATTATTTTAATTTAAACTCAGAACATAAAATATTCTAAAAAGAATATTCTATTCTTTTTGAGTTTAAATCTAAAAATAGAAAAAACAAATTGTTTTTCTATTTTTAAGAAAAGAGATAAATATTTGTATTTATCCTTTTCTTTGAATATCTAAAAAATAAAGTTTTTATTTTTTGATATTCTGAAAATACATCAAAATAATAATTTTGAGTATTTTCTACCATTAGGAAAAAACAAGAACATGTCAATGTTGTTGTTTATTGTTTGTTGTTTGTTGTTGTTGTTGTTGTTCATTTAGAAAGGGTTAAGTATTACTTTACCTTTCTAATGAACATTATGGCAGAAGTAGAAGTGTGTTATGGCATAATAGATTTATAACATAATTAATATTTAAATAAATATAAAGAAATATATACAATTTTAATAATCTAGTAATTGATAAAAATTTAAGAATTTTTTGTAATCACCAAATTATTGATTAAACCTCTTTAAATACAGACCGATATTCAGTCGTTGCGGTTGTCAATCAAATCAGCAAATCATCACGTCAAGGAAAATGAGGGTACATCAAGATCTTGGCAAAAGAAAGTGATCAAAGTGCTGAAAGAATAGTAAGTACTTTTAGCAGTACTATTATTCCTTTTTGTATTGATGTACAGTGGACCCCGTTTAATGTCAACCCCTTTAATGTCAACCCCTGATATGGTCAACCTTTTTCTGAGAACCTCACATTTTAGCAGAGATAAATTTCAACTTCTACATAAGGTCAGTGTCAACACCTTGGCCAGGGTTGACTTCTTATTGAGGTCAAACATATCTAATCAAAAGAGTTTATTTCATTGTTGGTTGAAAATATATTGTTCAGGAACGACTCTGTTGCATACATACACTGTGTCAGGGTGTGCTGGTTTTATATTTTATTATACGGTTAAACTTTGTGCCACCCCCTTGAACGTCAACCCCTGTTAGCGTCAACACTTTCAGCTGTACTTGAGGGTTGATATTAAAGGGGGTCCACTGTAATACTAATGGGCTACAACTTAACAACAGCCGAGATGTATATAATGAAAAGGGATCTTCATCCATGTTAAAAAATCAAGGGGAAATGAACTATATCTCGACTTTCCTTGCACCTATGATCAAGCAGCTTTTAAAGGATATGATAACATTGGTTTCATGTGGTATGTAACTATCCGATTATTCCATTCTTTATTGATACTTAGAATTCATATTTTGACATAATCATTACTTTTCATTATTTGTTATAGGGGTGATGCAGCTCTTGCTGCATCGAAAGAAGAAGAACATGCTGCACAAACGGATGACGAAACCAGATTGAGAGGAAAAATTCCTGATGGAGTGTTTACATTGAAAGATTATTACATGGATTTTTCACTTGTCGAGATCAGTGGACCTCCCAACGCCAACAACCATTCGCATCATATTGGGGACAGGAATAAGCTGGCAAAGGCTTTAAAACAACAGTTGAAGAAGATTCGAAGAACAATCACTGACGGAGATGTTGAACTATATGAAGCAATCAAACTCTTTGAAGTTCAAGTGTATGGTAAATATCAGAGTGATATGTATGTTCAAGGTAATTCGAATGCCCCTGAGATAATACTGATCGTGTAATGATACACATAACTCTATGTTTACTCATTAGCAGAACCGGTACGAGGTGTTTATGTATTTGATCAAGTGATGGTAATCCAATTGCTATGTCCTATTGGCATGATAACAACGTTCATGCCCAAGTTAGTAAAAGATCTATGGAAACTGAAGGTATCATATAAAGGAAAAATTCTCTCATTATTCTGCGTCTATTTTGTGCTCATTTTTTACTAAACACAAATGAACAGCAATTTATCATTAGTAGCTCTCTTACCGTTACGGATTATTTGAATAGTGATGGAGGGAACAACAGCAGCGACTGTTCGACTGATTCAAGAGATATAGTCTATATTTCACCTACCAAGAGATCCAGGAAGAAACGGGTTGAAACTTCGTCATGAATACGTGGTTTATTAAGGATTGATAGGATATGGCAGCAAAGATTAGGAGAATGTATAATTTTAGCGCTCCAATTATATGTCACATTCATCAATAATATAGTTTCTTTCGTTGCGTTTATATACCGCTCTTACATGTAACTATCCATCGTCGTCACTGTTTTTAAATGTTCCAAGCGTGCCACAGCCTATGTTTGTATACTGAGTATGGTAATACTTTTGTTTTAAAGAAATTTCCTGTCTCTGTGTCTCTTTACAGTAGCCGTGGCAGTCCGTCGACGTAAATAGCATGGCTATTTGAGAAACCAGTGGGGGAAGCTACTCTGGAGATGGAGCGGGCGCCAGCAATATTTTCGACAAATAAACAATTCGCACGGACGTTGATACACTGCCGAGTCTGAATCCAGCATTATTAGCATGTGTTTATCCCACAACAGGCAGTCCCACTGACGCCCTCATATCTAGTAGGGCCTCGCCTCCAAGCAGTCTAAAAACAAACCTGGATGCAGCATTTGCATCAACGATCTATGGACGCTGAGGCAAATATCAGGCCAAGTTCGGATTCTTTTCAGAGACTTTCCTCGAAAACGGACTGACTTATGGTGCATACTGACTTGAATCGTTAATATATTTGAAATACCGACCCAAAAAAAGAAAGTGTATCAGAGTTGTCCAAAGTGAATTTTCTGAGATTCTGACCAGCAAGATGTGTTTAATAGCATATTATTATGAAAAAAGGTGTTTTGGAGAGCTCTGATAGCCATCAAAGTTTTATTGGAATATGAAAATTTACTATGTAGACCCAAGATTTCGATAAGGTGGGAGGGGTAGATCAGTGAGGTGATGTAGGCTAGTACAGTCTGTGTAACATTGCATTAGTCATGGTTACACAAACACGTTATCCTCATTATCATACTGCTTTTTCACAAGGGTTGTGTTTCCTTCATTGATACTCACTCATCGTAGTGAAGCTACACTACTTTGAGATTGATCCAAATAACTCAACCCACTCCGCCATCTTCGTAACCATTAAAATGCAGTAGAGAGAACACCACACACATGGATGAATCAAATATTACATAATTAGCACCATATTGATAATCTCTCAAACATGGATCACAATTGAGAATGACTCAGGACCAACTATTATCAATACTTCGTTGAAATATAATATCGATAATCTCTCAAACATGAATCAGAATCGAGGATAACTCAGTACCAACCATTGTCAGTACTTCGTTTCAATCTACAGACACTGTTCATAAGGACACTTGTAGGCAAGTGTTTGGAATAACTACCGTTATTCTAGGGTTTCGACTACCGTCTCAATGACCAGCTACACCTTCAAAAAAATCAAAGATTTTTTCTCGGACCACCCCCATCATATAATGATCATTATCTTTTATTTAAAAATAAAATTTAAAAATTAAATTATATTTTAAAAATAAAAAATATTATAATCAACAAATTATTAAACAGTCTTCTACATTATCTGAGTTGAGCGAAGTGTACCTATCAAAGAGCGGATATCATACGTCGATACTACAACCGTTGCTTTCGTTATATCCAAGCATACAAGGATATGAAAGACGATCGTGAAGCTGCCAAGATCGTAGAGAAATTTACTTCTAGAAGTTACAAATCCCACCGCAGAATTATTGTAAGTGATTAGTTTGTATTTTTACCTCCGTTATTTCTGACTTTCATAAGTAAATGAGTATAGCTATCGATTATGTAATTCCCTGACTAGTGCAAACATAGAGTATGATATATGAAGAAACATATCGGGTGTTTTGGGTGTTAATCTAGCCGCGGTGTTTCAAAAATTCTCAATTTTCGACAGCTCATGGTTTAAGTCAGTATGCACCATAACAATGTCTTACTTATTTTCTTCGTTTAAGACTATTGAAGCCTAAATTAATAAAGCATCTTCTTAGATGTTCTCAAACTAATCTGTAGGCTATTATAAAACAAGGTAAGAATGCTTAGTTGCTTGTTTGAAATTTGAAAAAAGCTCTCTTTAGTGACTAATCTCTTTTTAAATTAATAGTCATGATGGTGCTATAAGTGCTTTTATTGGAGACTGTCTGTAAGTATACGTTTATTCCTTTAGGGTATGGGCTGTTAAACGACATGGAAATCGCTGATATATGTTTCTGTTAAACCATAGGCTATATGAAGTACGCGCCGATTTATACTGCTCATATCTTTGGTAAGTTGAAAATGATGACGCGTTGACAAAACCTATATAAGCTATTAAGGCTAATCATCATCTTTTTAAAAGCAATACTAAAATGGCATAACCTCAGGTAACAGATTCACTACTGTTTTTTAAAATCCTTTTTGCAAGCTTGAAAGCGTCATCGATTATTTTATTAGCGTGTTTAGTTATGTAGTATCCATAAAATTTAGCCCATAATTATTTTCAATAAAGGTTTTTTTTACACTAATCCTATTCCAAAATGCAAAGCCTCATCATCTGCATCTCATCGTAAATGAATGGGGGGTGGGGGGACCTGGTTCTTTTTCTGCTGTCCCAATATAGTATCTGCATGCGATAACTCAAAAAGGCAACTGGTTTCCTCTTTTTTTTTTGCATGGGTGTGTATGGTTGGACTACAATTCTGTATTTTCTTAACTTTTGTTTTTGTGATACTAGGTAACGCCTTTTGTTCACCTCTGCTGGTATCATCTGGGTTTCAAATAACTCCTTATTCTTTGCTTTGATACCAGGTAATGCTTCTTTTTCACCTCTACTGGTATCAGCGTGTTACTCGCAATGGCTGCTCCGGTTCATTCTCAAGAGCTTCATTCTTTTCTCCTGCCACACAAACACCGACCTGGAACAGATCTTATGTCTAAACATGTCTTACTGGATCCTACTGTCATGGGCATAGTGATCGATACAGTAGTCAGTCCTGAAGCAAAAAAACAATACTCACCTTGGCCAACCGAATGGGTAGATGGAAATAGATCAGACGTCTTGTATATTCCCAACACCCACAATGACGAGCTCCATCCCATTATCGTTGAAGTACAACACACGGTGAATAACGATTTTATCCTCAGGCTCATGTCGTATGCGATCTCAGCTTATCGAGAACATAACAAGCGGCCTCTAATCGTAATAACTTTTGCTGTCTCATCCATCAAATATGAAGTCACTAAGAAAACAATACGCAACAAAAGGCACCCGTTTCTGCTACAATATCCTAGTCAACCTTGGGCTCATAGGTGCTACCTTATAGATAATCATTCGATATAACCAAACGAATTTTATTCTCAGTTTTCTATATAAGCCAAATAAGCTCCAAATACTCAGGTCACCTGGTTCACTTCTTGTGCCCAATAAAGAGAAACAATGGTATTAGGGGGTAATGGGATTAATATGAAACAGTTATTTATATATCCTCCTTTAGAAGGAAAGAATACAAACATACTTCTTTCCTTCTAGATAGGGTCTTATTCAGACATACCTTTTTGAGGTGGATTCTATAAGTATCATATTTAATGAGAAACTAAATGTCTTTATTTTTTGAAAAAAAAATTTTGTTATTTAATTGATGCTATCTAATTTTATTAATTATTAAAAAAAATGTTTACAAAAATGTCTTTTAAGATTTTAGCGATCGCCCCATTCCCCCTTCATATCCTGCGATTAACTTTAAACTTAGTTTGGGTTATTTCTAGTTATTGGTTTAAAATACTTATTTATGGATGTAATAGATTATTACAAACTTATAATTCTTTATTACAGAATAATATTCTATCCATTATTAAGTTTATTAAACATAAGTATTACTATTCTACAGATAAAAATCATTTTAGATTTGCATCTATATTTTTAATTCCTAATATTCTAGTTGATTCTATTCATCTTTATTTTTTTAGAATTTATTCACTTCTTAAATGATAATCTTTCTAACATTTTTACAGGCTCTTTAGGTTTAGTATTACTAGGTTTATTAATTTATATAAGTTCTGCCCCTAATTCATCTAATACAAATCCTTCATCAAAAAATACTTTTAATGTTAATTTTGGAGATGGAGGTGTAGGGTCAAATAATCATCCATCAAATAGTAATTCTAATAATAATAAACCAATTACTTCTCCTGGAGTTGCTGCAGGAATTATTTCTGGAACAACAATAACTGCTGCAGTTAAAATTGCAAAAACAAATCCTAGAAATAGATTGTTTTTAGGTGTTGTTGGTACTATTAGTGATTTTGCTACTTATGGATTAGGTGAAATGATGAATCATAACTATGAAGAAAGAAGAAAATGAGAGAAATGTGTGAAAGAATGTATTATCACTCTATTGAAAGATCTAGTAGTCCTCCACCAGATGGAAACTTCAAAATTAATTCTCCAAATGAAAATAGTAATAATTTTGTAGAATTGATTTCAAAATTCATTGAAAATCCACAAGATGTATTTAATTTATTAAATGGATATTTTAGAGGTAGTGATAGAAATCCTACTCCTATTTTAATTTTATGTATTTGTCTATTTACATTTATTGGAATTCTTGGTTGTTTCTTTTTAATTATAGGTATGTTAAGTAAACTAATTAAAATTGAAGAACGAGAATTTATTAAGAATAGACCTTTATTACATAAATTAGTTTGCCTTATTATTTCCTTAAGAGATTGGAATAATTTTGTATTATTAATAATTATGTTATTATGTCATATTGGAATTTTAGTTATTTGCTATTATTTAAACGAATCATTCTGGGTTGATGATTCATATAAAAGATTATTATTATTATTTTATAATAATAATAAATAATCTCCCATGATATCAATATTTATAATTATTATTTTATAAAATTCTCCCCCGTACAGGATTTTTCATCTCCTAGCAGACGTTTGAACTTTTATTTAGGCAGAAGGGATTCAATTTTAGGCAGAGTAGATATGAATATTAATCTGAGTAGACATGAATAAAAGTTAATCTGGATATGAATAATAATTGATCTGGACATGAATGAAAATCGAGCTGGACATGAATGAAAATCGAGCTGGACATGAATGAAAATTGATCTAGACATAAATGAAAATCGAGCTGGACATGAATATAAATTGACCTGGACATGAATGAAAATCGATCTAGACATGAATGAAAATCGAGCTGGACATAAATATAAATTGACCTGGACATGAATAAAGATCGATCTGGACATGGATATAAAACGATCTGGACATGAATATAAATTGACCTGGACATGAATATAAATCGATCTGGACATGAGTAAAATCAATCTGGACAAAATATAAATCAATCTATACATGAATGAAATTCGTTCTGGACAAGAATAATAATCAATCTAAACATGAATAATAGACAACTTGAACATAATAACAGTCAAACTGGACATTGTTTTAGTCAACTAAGACATAATAAAAGTTGAAGTAGATAATATATTAAGTGTAGCAGAGCAGAATATTTGAGTACTTAAGATTTTCAATTCAAGTCAAGACATAATAGAAGTTAAGCAGTACAAAGCCAATGTCAAGATATAGTAGTATGGCTGGTTCACTTGTGACAAAAAGCTTGTAGGCTAATATACAGGAAATGGCAAGGGTGCGTCAGAGACTCACTACTGTACGCATAAACCTATTTTGCTGCTGTGGGAACAGGGCCTGAGCGTTTCCCCTCCATTCGATTTACCCGGGTTGAGTTTAACACAGACTGGAGGCTGGAGGCTGAGGTAGGTGGAAAGTGTGGGGTTTGTTAGCAGTAGCAGGGAGGAAAAACACAACAACCAAAGATCTCATTACCATTCGCCACAGCAAATCAACAGCTTCGACGCACACTTGTAAATGGCTCCTACTCTCTTCACGATGAATAAAAAACAAAGAAAACAAAACGGCACAATCCACGGATTTATTGAAAAACGAAATGAAGGTAACTGTTTTCTTAAAAAAAGCATGTGCTCATGATTTATAAGGAGTAGACCGCCGTTACTGCTGCTTAAAAAAACGCTGGGTAAGTGAACAAGGGAAGGAAAAGGTTATCAGTTATGCTTGAGGTATAGCTTTAGTGGAGATATGCCCATTTAGAATTACTGCTTCTTTCTCTTTTTCTCTGTATATACGTGATGCACCATCTTGCACCAATCCAACGTCAAACTTACGTGCGTAATACAACATCGTCCTCTACCTGCACAAACGATTCGTACTCACAATAAGAACGACGCAACAATCTTCTTCTCTATTACTCAAACACAATCATATACAACATGGCTCTGATCCGCCATTGACTTGTAAAATATACAGCCTGACGTACTCACCTTTCACTATCATGTACGCCCATATTACACGATGACGACTATGACGCCGGTCTTTTGTTTTAATACTTGTATGCTCAAGCACATCATCATCGTAATGACAGTCGTCTCTTTCTTTGCTGTTTGTATACACATCAACGCAATGATAATTATATTTCTATGATGAATACACACCACCACAACTATAACCCTCCTCTGCAATTCGCTGTACTCGCACATATACGATGGCAACGACGATTACCTTTTTCTTTTTGCATATGCCAACACGAACATTGCCGGTCTTGATGGATAAGGTATATGCTGATGGGTGGTATGTAGGGTTTTATTATTGTTACTGTAGATATTATGGTTGGGATGAAAAAAATAAAAGTAAAAGATCATACATTATGTAGTCATTATGTTTCAGTTGTCTGCATAAACGGGTGTGAGATGGTATTTCATATTATTACAAGTGCTTCTATAAAAACTATAAATATAGCTCTGAGCGGTGATGATAATATGGCAGGGACAAAGAAGAAAACGCGTTTGTTGTTATGAAGGAGGAAGTTTTTTGCTATTACAACAGCAACTTTATTTGTTGTTATTAACAACAACTAGGGATCCGTATCAGAACCGTAGAACCGGAACCGAACCGAACCGAAACCGAGAAAATACGGTTTGGTTCCTGTCAAGAACCGAACTGGAACCGAACCGGTTCTGTATAAGTAGAACCGAAGAACCGAGAGGCAGAAGATTGCATTTAGCGATTTTGGTAATTAGTATTAAGTAGGCTATAATGGAAGTTACGAACAATGTTATTCCGAAAAGACCACGAAGTAGTGTATTTGCAAGCCATACTTTATTGAAAAACTTAACAAAACCTGCAAAAGCAGAAGGGAGTGAAAAATAGTAAAGAAGAGAAGGAAACAACACTTCTTCTGATGGCAGCTTGCTTTCTCTGTCCATGACGCACATCATTACTTGTTCCTCTACTTTGCTACCCACAATGCATTTTTCTCCATGACGTACTACTTTACTAGATTTATCATGGCTTCTTGATCAGTTTTATCAAGTTTGTGCATTCCGTTTGAGATTGCGCATTCTGGGGCTCATAACAGAATTATCTTACCCATTCACCCTTTGCCTTTTATGAGACACTATACACTATACACACGTAGAGACACAGCAGCTGTATGTACTGGCGGTTGTGGTTCAATTCCTCCAATGTTACAATAACATATTGTACTAGTAATACTAAGTCGCTCTAAGTAAGTACTATAAGCTCTACTTTTTTTTGTAAAAACTGTGCTTTCATCTTTTAACCTTGCAATGACCCACATCGTATAAAAAATGTTTACATTCTGTTTCTCTTATTCAATTTGAAATCGCTGTTCAATGTATAACAGTAAACTATTCTTTTTTACTGCAGTATTCAAATATACCGCGACATTTGAACACACACATCAGCTTTCATTTAAAGATACCGAATCTTGCCTTTTTTATATATATGATGGGTTCGGTTCTTCGGTTCAATTCTTCGGTTCTACGGTTCTCGTCGGTTCTAGTCGGTTCGGTTCTTGCTTTAGATGGTTCGGTTCGGTTCCCTTCAAGAACCGAACCGAACCGGACCGTGCGGATCCCTAACAACAACTATGAACAACCGACAAGTTAGTACCCTTGACGTCATTCGCTACGCTCTCTCTCACTCGACTGTACGTGGAGTTCTTGCACTCATTCCTAATAAAATCGTGTGCGTTCCTCCTGCTGGATGTCAGATCTTCAAGGATCGCATCTCGGAATTGTGTGGCTACAAATAGGTTCACAAACGCGAGACTGTGCATGGCACCAGACGCTCTGCCACGCAATATCAATAATTACAATAACCATCCTTCACCACGAAACAACATCCTTCGCACTTGTATAACTCTTATAGAACCTTTTTTTGTCTTTCTTATATATCGGCCATCATACTTTATTCTCATCCAATCCACATCAACACAAACGGAAAGAAACCCGTCAGTTATCCTTCTTGCTATCTACAGCTCATTCATCCATAAAGACCGGCGATGTTAACATTGTTATATGCAAAAGGAAAAAAGTAATCGCGCCAGGCTGTATGTTTTGCAAGCCAATGGCGGATCAGCGCCATGTTGTATATGATTGTGTATGAGTAATGGAGAAGAAGATTGTTGCGTCGTTCTTATTGTGAGTACGAATCGTTTGTGCAGGTAGAGGACGATGTTGTATTACGCACGCAAGTCTGACGTTAGATTGGTGCAAGATGGTGCATCAAGTATATACAGAGAAAAAGAGAAAGAAGCAGTAATTCTAAATGGGCATATCTCCACTAAAGCTACACCTCAAGCACAACTGATAACCTTTTCCTTCCCTTGTTCACTTACCCAGCGTTTTTTTAAGCAGCAGTAACGGCGGTCTACTCCTTATAAATCATGAGCACATGCTTTTTTTAAGAAAACAGTTACCTTCATTTCGTTTTTCAATAAATCCGTGGATTGTGCCGTTTTGTTTTCCTTGTTTTTTATTCATCGTGAAGAGAGTAGGAGCCATTTACAAGTGTGCGTCGAAGCTGTTGATTTGCTGTGGCGAATGGTAATGAGATCTTTGGTTGTTGTTTTTTTCCTCCCTGCTACTGCTAACAAACCCCACACTTTCCACCTACCTCAGCCTCCAGCCTCCAGTCTGTGTTAAACTCAACCCGGGTAAATCGAATGGAGGGGAAACGCTCAGGCCCTGTTCCCACAGCAGCAAAATAGGTTTATGCGTACAGTAGTGAGTCTCTGACGCACCCTTGCCATTTCCTGTATATTAGCCTACAAGCTTTTTGTCACAAGTGAACCAGCCATACTACTATATCTTGACATTGGCTTTGTACTGCTTAACTTCTATTATGTCTTGACTTGAATTGAAAATCTTAAGTACTCAAATATTCTGCTCTGCTACACTTAATATATTATCTACTTCAACTTTTATTATGTCTTAGTTGACTAAAACAATGTCCAGTTTGACTGTTATTATGTTCAAGTTGTCTATTATTCATGTTTAGATTGATTATTATTCTTGTCCAGAACGAATTTCATTCATGTATAGATTGATTTATATTTTGTCCAGATTGATTTTACTCATGTCCAGATCGATTTATATTCATGTCCAGGTCAATTTATATTCATGTCCAGATCGTTTTATATCCATGTCCAGATCGATCTTTATTCATGTCCAGGTCAATTTATATTTATGTCCAGCTCGATTTTCATTCATGTCTAGATCGATTTTCATTCATGTCCAGGTCAATTTATATTCATGTCCAGCTCAATTTTCATTTATGTCTAGATCAATTTTCATTCATATCCAGCTCGATTTTCATTCATGTCCAGCTCGATTTTCATTCATGTCTAGATCGATTTTCATTCATGTCTAGCTCGATTTTCATTTATGTCTAGATCAATTATTATTCATGTCCAGATTAACTTCTATTCATGTCCACTCAGATTAACATTTATGTCCACTCTGCCTAAAATTAAATCCCTTCTGCCTAAATAAAAGTTCAAACATCCGCTAAGAGATGAAAAATCCTGTACTTGTTTAATTTTACTACTTTTTTCTTTAATAGGACTTTTTACAAGAATTTTCTTAGTATTACCTAAAACTTTAGTAGATAATGTTACAGATGTGGATTTCACATATTTTTGACTAGTTAATAATCCTGAAGGAGTAATCCAAACAATAGGAAGGTTTAAATTAAAATTAATAAAACCATATTATTAAAATAGTTAGATAATTCATTTAATTTAGGATGTACAACATATAATGATTTAGGAATAATTTTAGCTAATAACATTAATTCTTTACTTATTATTAAAGTTAATTTATTCTTATCTTAAAGTTTATAAAACATTTTCCCATCAATTTTTTTATATATAGAAAAATGATCTTGAATTAATTGATCATAAATTCCTTTAATCCTAACTCTATATGAAATAGTTATTAAACTTCTTTTTACATTCTTTCTATTTAATACTAAACCCTTTAATCTGGCATACTCTAAATCACATTCCTCTATTTTCTTGATTTCTTCATTAATAGGATTTAACATTAAACTATAAAGATCAATAGGATCATCTTTCATATCAGATTCAACTAAATTAACTTTACTAGCTAGATCAAAATCAGAAATCATTGCAGCTAAATGTTGTACACTATTACATGTTGCATCTAAATAAATTGGTAATCTAGAAATAAAGTTTAATGGATCCTTATTATAACCTTGTAACTCAAAACAAAAAGCTAAAAATAACATAGGTTCATCAGCTTTTCTCCATAATCCTGAATTTAAATCTAAGATTTCTAAAAAATGTTGATCAACCCATTCCAATCTTTTAGTAATAGATAATTTATTTAATCCAAAAGCATTTGCTCCATAAACCTTTAATGAATTTAATCCATTTTCAGATAATACATTACCTTTTTTGAATCATAATAATGATCTTGCTAATTCACCACCTTGGAAATTTAATTCACCCCCTTGGCAATAAACGCTTCCTCTCCAGTCTAAAAAGAAAGTAAAATAAAATTGTTCAACATCTCTATAAAGTTTAGCAATAGTTAAAATTGAATTATTATATAAGAATTTACTATTATGAGATGTAATTTCAAATTCTTTTTCTTTATTATTCTTTTTAATAATCTCACTCATTTCATCTGCCTCCTTATGTAATGTTCTAATAATTAAATCATCATTAAGTAGCAGATTCATTAGAAAAACTAATACTTTAAGATTATTATTGAAACTAATAGATGACATATAATTAACCATTTTAATTGTCATTTTATTTATAAATTTAATATTTAATTCAGTAAATCTTTTACTTCTAATTAAAGGATTAATTTTTAGTATTATTAGTAATATATCCACCATATGTCTTAAATTCTTTGCTATCATTTAATTCCCAATAAATAGGTGGATATACTATAGGTAATTCATGACTATCAATCATACCTAAATATTTAATATAGTTTTTCAATTGGTACAGTAACTAGGAATAATTTCTCTATGAGTTTTTTTACTTTTAACATCATATCGTTCTAAGATATTAAAAAGATCACTTTTCATATCCAAATAACTAATAATAGTACCACTAATATTAATAAAATTCTCTTCATTCATTGTAAAATTCTTCAAATATAAATTAAAAGTTACAATATCCTTAGATTTATCATCAACTTCTTTAATATATTTTTGATATAAACATTCTTTATATAAAGTTTCTCCTAATCTATGAAATAAAGTAGTAACTGATTGTTCTTTATTATCTTCATATTTCATAATAAAGGGGATTAACAAACTTAAAATCAAGAACAGCATCAAGCATTAATCTATTTCTTTAAACATAAAAAGATATTTTTTGTTTCTAATATATTTTTCATTTTCAAAATACATTTTTAAGTCATCTTCTAACAACTTATAGTTATTTAAAAATATTCTAAACCTAGGATTTGTATTTAAGAAATCCTTAGACTTACTCATTTTTTCTAGTTTTTTCAACCATAAAGAATGTAATTTTTCTTCTAAATTTAATTGTTTTTCTTTAAGAGATAAAGTATCGTTTGATAAAATTTCTTTAATACTAATATAACCACTAGACTTTTCATTTGTAAGAGAAAAATCTTTAAAATCATTAAAAGTTGAATTTAAAATATTATTTTCTGAAGGGTTTTTATTTATACATACCACTGAAGGTAATAAAGTTAAAAGTAAATTATCCGGAGTATTAATCTAGATATTACTAGTAATTAAACCATCAGGTGTTTTAATCCTAATGTAACTTGAAATAAGCTCTGTAAAAGAGTTTAAATCACAGGTATTCGAAGGGAAAATAGGGCAATTGCTAAAAATATACAGTTGTACCCTGGTTTTTGCAACCGAGGGTTTTCCGATTTTTTTTTGCAAAAAGTGAGGATTTGCAAGTAACGGGGCAAACAATTCTGCTTTAAGTATACACTGGATAAGTCATCCTATTAACACTAGCCTATTGTTTATCTATCAGAGATGATGTACGATATGTTCTTTGGGAATATTCATACAGCTCTAAATGTTACTACTTGCATATATAAGACCGTTCTTTGATTGAAGCTGTCTAGTGGTTTGATAATTATTAGCTCTTTTAAGCATAACAAAATCGTTCCACAAGTTCACATCCAAGCAAGAGGATCGAACGTACGACGAGCACTTGAGCGGGCGGTGGACCAAAGCGCTGATTCGCCTATTCTAGGGCCAACGTCGAAGGAAAAACAGGTTGCAATTGCAGGAGTTTTGAGCTTTTTGGATAATATCGATAACTACGACTTAAAGAAGTCTTTGCGTAGGATTCCAGAGAGTCTCAGGCAGCAATCATTCTCCCGACAATCATCCCTTGATGACTTCTTCGATATGTAGTTAAAAGCTCCTTTGAGCAAACATTTTATTTCTATATCTATATGTAGTGTGTTCCCTTTTTCTTATATCTTCATCATTTCTTTTGTGGATTCAATCCAATCAGTGCTATATATGTGTCCTGATTCTACTGGCTCAACTACCAAATAATAATTTTTATGTATTTCGATAATAAATACATCTTCATATTTACATATTTATCTTGCAGTAACCGCATCATTTTATTCCTCATAATCCACAACAGATGCTTCTTTCAGTTGATATTGCAAAAATTGAAGCTGTTTTTACCCCGATAACATGCAAATCATATAAACTCATTTGCAAGTTGCAAATTTGCGAAACTACTAAGTTTTTTTTGGTTTTTTCAAAAAAAGTTGCAGATATATGAGGAATTGCAAAACCAGGGGTTGCAAAAACCGGGGTACAACTGTAGAATAAGTTTGTAAACATCATATTTTTAAAGTAAGTAAGTAATTAGATAGCATCTAATTTGTAGTAATGATTTATTTAGTTTCGAGATTGATTATCTATACTTACAGTACCGCCACAAGAAGGCATAAATCAAGGTACCGGGGGAGAATTTTATAAAATAATAATAATAAATATTGATATCATTAGAGATTATTTATTATTATTATAAAATAATAATAATAATCTTATATATGAATCATCAACCCAGAATGATTCGTTTAAATAATAGCAAATAACTAAAATTCCAATATGACATAACAATATAATTATTAATAATACAAAATTATTCCAATCTCTTAATGAAATAATAAGGCAAACTAATTTATGTAATAAAGGTCTATTCTTAATAAATTCTCGTTCTTCAATTTGAATTAGTTTACTTAACATACCTATAATTAAAAAGAAACAACCAAGAATTCCAGTAAATGTAAATAGACAAACACATAAAATTAAAATAGGAGTAGGATTTCCATCACTACCTCTAAAATATTCATTTAATAAATTAAATACATCTTGTAGATTTTCAATGAATTTTGAAATTAATTCTACAAAATTATTACTATTTTCATTTAGAGAATTAATTTTGAAGTTTCCATCTGGTAGAGGACTACTAGATCTTTCAATAGAGTGATAATACATTCTTTCACACATTTCTCTCATTTTCTTCTTTTCTCATAGTTATGATTCATCATTTCACCTAATCCATAAGTAGCAAAACCACTAATAGTACCAACAACACCTAAAAACAATCTATTTCTAGGATTTGTTTTTGCAATTTTAACTGTAGCAGTTATTGTTGTTCCAGAAATAATTCCTGCAGCAACTCCAGGAGAAGTAATTAGTTTATTATTATTAGAATTACTATTTGATGGATGATTATTTGACCCTACACCTCCATCTCCAAAATTAACATTAAAAGTATTTTTTGATGAAGGATTTGTATTAGATGAATTAGGGGCAGAACTTATATAAATTAATAAACCTAGTAATACTAAACCTAAAGAGCCTGTAAAAATGTTAGAAAGATTATCATTTAAGAAGTGAATAAATTCTAAAAAATAAAGATGAATAGAATCAACTAGAATATTAGGAATTAAAAATATAGATGCAAATCTAAAATGATTTTTATCTGTAGAATAGTAATACTTATGTTTAATAAACTTAATAATAGATAGAATATTATTCTGTAATAAAGAATTATAAGTTTGTAATAATCTATTACATCCATAAATAAGTATTTTAAACCAATAACTAGAAATAACCCAAACTAAGTTTAAAGTTAAACGCAGGATACGAAGGGGGAATAGGGCGATCACTAAAATTTTAAAAGACATTTTTGTAAACATTTTTTTTAATAAATCTCATTAAATAATGATACTTATAGAATCCACCTCAAAAAGGTATGTCTGAATAAGATCCTATCTAGAAGGAAAGAAGTATGTTTGTTTTCTTTCCTTCTAAAGGAGGATATGTAAATAACTGTTTCGTGTTAAACCGATTACCCCCCTTATTGGTTCAACCTTTGTTACCTTTGGTTGCTTTATCTCTATTCTTGACTAGTCAATACCCATCTCTTATGGCAAGCCCACACCGTAGCGACGTCACCATCCAGAAACTATACTGGATCACCGCACGCATCTTCGACCATCAACTAAAGCCCAATGAGAATGCGATTGATGATCTTGTATTTGTATGCCAAAAAACAGATAACATGATCACAGAAGCATTGGCAACACTCCAAGAAGAAGTACCTGATGTTACCAAGTGGAGCCGTACGAAATGGATTCTCGAAGATGGCAAGGACCTCGCATGAGAGTTCAAACGAAAGTATCAAGTGGCAACTGGTTCGTCATCATGTCAAAGGATATTAGCACCCACAGATACCAACACCAACACCGTTAGTACCAGTGACAATGACAATGACACCACCAGCACAAGTGACAACAACGCCGATTCCCATGATGACACTAATGCCAATGACAATACTACAACTACCCGTACTTATAACAATACAAGTGACAGCAGCACCATTGACAACTGGACGTATATTGAACAATGTATCTCGAAGCTTGATGAAAATGCACCAATTCTATGGCAAAACATATATGATAATGGCAGGACACGTGGTTTATTCAATAATTATGCCAGATAGAATACAATGAAAGCAAGCTATTATAGATGGAAGAAGCAGAACCAATAGTAATAGTAGACTTTTTCACACATGTAAACAGGCCATTCTATACTGTTGAATTAAAAAATTCCTATTCTGTCTAAAATCAAAGTCAATAACGATACTAATGAACCAGATCACATCAAATGATACTTTCAAGTATAAAATCTTGAGGTCCACCAAAGTCTACCTGGGTCCACCATTTTTTGAAATCCCGATAGCAGGACCACAGTGATATCCAGCGATATCATTGGTTATACCGAATGATATCTGCGAATATCAATTGTTGGGGACCGTTTTTATAAGTAGAGCCGTGGACCTGCTTGTTATTAATAAAAGAAGAGCTTGGTATCTTTAGAATAATTACAGAAAACCTTCAAAACGCTTTAAATGAACCGGGCATTGATTCCATGTATTCAAGGAAAGGTTAATGTCATCCGAGATTGCAGAATAAATTTTTTAAATCGTGCTGTTCTTAATGAATGAGCTGCTCTAGGTCGTGTAATTTGTATCATGCTAGCTACATACAGCAACTGTACCACTCAAAGAGCCTACATTTTAGTGATCTCTCCAATACTTTCAATGTTAGATGACAGTGATATGGATGCCATGGTGTTAGCAAAACTACTACACTCTAACATACACATAGATCCAACATCAGTGTCTACACTTCAGACTAACCCTATCTTTCTTCTGTCTCGTCAGGTACCTTGTTGATAGCTTTCAAAAGGCATTAGTATAGATGGCACATTGATTCAGTGGATTGGACGGTATACGCTGTTCTATCTATGCTTGAGATATTAACAATGTTTTCTCTCCTTTCCTGTACTTTGAACATGTAACAGACACTAGGTAGAGATAGTTAGTGTTGTGTAGGAACATGTCATATCTTGTTCCTTTCTTTGCCTGACTGATGAATAACAGCAACTTATTGCTGCTATTGCAACGATTATAAAACCACTTTGTAACTACTATCGACCGATGAACTAACTATAAGCAGTTCTAATGACTATCCTTCCTTGATAACTGCTCAAGATTTATGTATTCACAATGCATTTTGACAGCGGAAGGTGCGAAAAACCAACGCAACATCTGCAGCAGTACGAACATTTTTGGAGAGAAAAACTAATCTACATCGCCTTCATTTAAACAACATATTTCTGTTCCCAGTAATACATTATCGCCATGCTGCTAACCATGTATCATTCGTGGTATACACAGTCGTCTCGAGTGTCCATTATTAAATTACTAAAATTAGAGCCATATCCAGTACTGCGTGTATATATATAATCTAATTCCTACATCTTAAGCTCTGCATCAAGTGCAACTAATTTATCAAATGCATTTCATCATGCTTCAGAAAACGTACTATAATAAGCATTCCCTATTCCAAACCATTGACAATCATTTTTAGGACAGGCCTCGTGAGCCCACGAAACAAAAGTTATATATTCTTTGAAAAAAAAAAGGGCCAAACAAGGCCACGAAACAAGCAAAAGTTAAAAAGAAAAAAAAAGCGAGGCAAAAAGCATCATGGCCAATAGACCACAACATGAGAGTAATACAATAAAAAAAATATGGCCAAGCAAGGCCAATGTTAGAAAGTTGAAAAAAAGCGTGTCAAAGGGAAAGCTAGCGAGTGAAAAAAAGAAAAAGATGGTGAAATGAATATACAAAAAGTTTAAAGTGTATCAAAAAAACATAAGTCTTTCGATAATGAATCTAATGAGGTAATGCAGACAGCGAGATAGTGTCTATGTATAGTGTCTAACACTTCTGGTACTCTTTCTTGCATTCCTTTTCTTTCAATATAATCTTAAACTTTCCGAATAATCGCTCGTCTTCTACGAAACCATTAGCCGTCTGAATCACTTTTTCGCCATGCAGTTTTGTACACTTCTTCCATTCTAATCACAGACATGCCGCCATTCCAACTGTCAAACCATTCAGTCTATAATTGTGGGATTGTTTGGACGTTTGTGCGGTTCATGGATGGATATATGGGCTGTTGTTGTTGGGGGTGATGATGATGGTGATGAGTTGGTGCTGATGCTGCTGATGATGATGATGACGATGTTGGTGCTGGTGCTGCTGACGACGACGACGAAGATGATGATGGCGCTGGTGCTGCTGATGGCAGTGCCACAGTTGCTGTCATGGTGGATGGGAGGGAGGAGGACGAGGACGGGAGCGAAACCGAGCCCCAACCTTCCTGCTGCTGTTGTTGTTGCTGCTGCTGACCTGCCAAGTTGAGCGTGACGCTCAAGGACGCTTGTCCGCTGGCGATACGGTCCCAATGCTGTATAATATCTCCTATACAACTCATGTTTGGTACAAGCTGCGCAAGTGCTTCCAGAGTGGGTATGGCGTTAGAGAAAGATTGTACAATGCGATTGGTGTCTTGTTGCTGAGCAGCGATTTGTTGTTGCAAGATGGCAAGTCTATTTTCAATGATCAGCACGGCACGTTGAAGTAACAGATCAGTGGGCTCTTCGTTGTTTTCAAGTGCATGATTCAAGTTACTATTTTAAAAGGATAATTAGTATATAAACGAAAGACTGTAGTCCACCAGCACATACCGTTCAAATTCAAGATACAAAGGATCATGGAACAAAGGATCTTGCTACAAATGATGACCTGGAGAGCGCTTTTTCATCAAAACCGAATCTTGCAAAAATACAACACGCAACTGCACAAGAAGAAGCAAAAACGAATCAGCTGTGCACGAGTCCTCCACTTGTTTGGCATCCAGCAACGCCCACCACCGATCGACTTCAGGAAAAACCTTCTTGCAAAGCTCAAGGGGTGGTGTAACAGCAGCACGAGGTAAGTAGAATTGGCCAGCCTCTCTAGTGAATCCTGCCATGGTCCACAAGATATCACGAGGCAAATTGGTTAGATAACTGGTCGATAAAGCAGAATTATTCCAACGACCTAATCGCCGGATAGACTCTTCGCTCGTTCCAGATATCTCTGCCATGCGTGCTGACGAACCCCTCATAGCGTGAGTGACCGCTTTACTGTGAATGCCGACTGACTTGAATGCTTCTAAAATACACTCGCGATGACGATCATACGTAATGGACTGCGTGTTGCGATCTCTGCCTCTGATGAGCTTGATGTCGAACCAATCTCGATTGCTTTGGAAACAAGGAAATGCCTCACCAGCAACGTGCCACCGATGAAAGAGATAAAAGGAAAGCATCATCAAAGGACAGATAACAACATTGGCGTTACGCATCGCAGCAGCAAACTCCACACGGCCCTCTTGGTTTGTTTTTCCTTGCTTAAGCACCATCACCAACGCATGACATTCAGTGACACCCTCGCGCTTAAGAAGTAACGTTTGTAGATCGGCAAGTTCCATCATACGAACGCTTTCGCCCCATAGAAGTCCATAGTGTTGCAGAAGAAAAGCAGTGCAATTTCGCAGTCCTTGTTGCTTGTTGGTGGCCAGAAAATGATCTACAATACGCTCCATCTCAGCTGATGTCGAATAACCATCTGCTGTCGTACGCATGCCTCTGTCTTCGTAGTTTTGTCGACTAAGCTCGTTTTCCACACGTTTCAAATGATCAACCAGTGCATGAACAAGCGGGCCACGCGGATGCGGACGATTGAAGCAAGGGTCTGTTCTGGCTTGTTCAAAATGGAGATCGACAATGGAAGTAATGTATTGTTTAACGGTAGCAAGCTTGACTTTGGGGGCGGGGGCATCAGGTGCAACAGGTTGCTCAACGGTATAACCCGGAGCATCGCGTACAGGTAGAGCAGCAGATGATGACGACGACGATGATGGCAAGATGGTGGTGACGGGCGAGAGAACAGCAGCAGACGAGGATGATGGCATGACAGCGGTAGCAGGCGAGAGAACAGCAGCAGACGAGGATGAAGGCATGATGGCGGTGGCGGGCGAGAAAACAGCAGCAGACGAGGATGATGGCATGACGGCGGTGGCGGGCGAGAGAACAGCAGCAGACGAGGATGATGGCATGACGGCGGTGGCGGGCGAGAGAACAGCAGCAGACGAGGATGATGGCATGGTGGTGGTGGTGGTACGCATGGCAGGAGCGGGTGACGAGGCGGGCGACAGCACAGAATTCTCTGGCTCTTTTCTCTTTCTTCCAGGTTTACGCTTCTCTCTGAAGACGACCTAAAAAGAACACAATTGTAAGACATGCGTACATATATAGATTGCGAACAGATATGTGGCTAACCTCTTCCACAAGAAAAAGATGAAGCTTTCTGTCGTCGATCAACTGGTTAGTGTGATCATTTGGACAGCGTCTTCGGCACCACTTGAGAAATTCTTCCTGCCTGGGAGAATATGATCTAACTGTATTCTGTGGACGGCTTCCTCGTGCTTGTTCATATAGCAGTATACTTATAATTATAAGTATTTAATAAAATTATTAGTAATCAATTACTCATGGGTAATTAAAAATCTTTTAAGTAAAAAAAAAATTGAATTTTTTTTAATTAAAAAAATAAAAACATCCAAGTTCTCTTACCATTTCAATAATTTTTAAAATGGTAATTTTAAACACAGAAATTCTTGTATCTACTAAATCCTTAACTAAAAGTATAAGAAATCTTATGGAAGAGGTTATGAAGGAATATTTTGATGATGAAGTGTTGGTAGAAAAAAAAGAAAGTAAGATGAAGATTATGGAAAATAAAATAAATGAAAAAATGAATAAAGTTAAAGATAAACAATTTTGGTACTTAAATAGTAGTGAAAATGTTTGCACTTTCATACATACAAGAGGTAAGAAAGAAGGTCACATGTGCCACAGGAAGATTAGAACTAATATTGGAGATAACAAGCTTGATTATCTATGTTCTAGTCATAGTAAAATTCATGTGCCCAAGAAAAAAAATAAAAAAATTGTTTTACCACCTTGCATATCTATTGATAATGGTAATCCTAAAAAAGATTTAAAAAAAGTAAAAAAAAGAAAATCAAAAACAATATATGTATG